CATCTGAGATTCTATTTTCTGTATGATCTAGTCTGCTTTTAATACTTTCAAGGGAGATTTTGACTTCCTGTATTATAGACTTCATTTCTAACAGTTCCGTTTGACTCTTTTGTAAAGCATGTAATTCCACTTTTATATCTTGCAAGAATTTCCTCACCTCCTGGAACTCATCAATTTCTTTCTCCTTGTCTCTCTTCTCTTCCATCTCAGTTAGCTTCACCATTATGAGTACTCTAAATTCTTTATCAGACATTTCCATGATTTGCATTGAACTGCTTGTGGATGAAGAGGAATTATTCTTTTCCCTTGGAGGAGAGGTATTTTCTTGCTTTCCCGTATTTCTTGTGGTCCTGCTGTGATTTCTTGTCATCTGATGGATGGTGTGTTTCTTTCTAATTCTTTTAGTTCAATCTGAATGTTCAGGAGCAAGCAGAAAGAGGTGATCTGGAATATCTTTGCTGTTCTGTTGTGATAGCTGATGCAGCAGATTCAGTACATTTTGAGGAATATGTTAACCCTAATAGTATTTGGATGTTTAGCTACAGTGCCCTTAGATCCATCTAGAAACACATTAAATGGATATTGAAGAGTGGAGAGACAAGAAAAAAGAAAATGAAAAAGAGAGAGAGAGAAACAACAACAAAGAAAGAGGGAAAAAAAATTTAAAAAAAAGCGAAAAAATTGTAATTATTATTTTTCTTTAAAAAAAAAAAATAGAAAACTGCATGGTGCACTTGCGCGGCACGTGAAATAACTAGTTCACAGGAGCCATGAGGAATCTTCTTCTGAAGGAAGGACTCACCTCTCCTGCCTGGGTGGGAGGATCAGAGGGGATTATTAACAAAACAAAAGGTGGAGCTGAGAGCAAGAGAAAAACTTTACCTTTAAAAAAATCATAAAAAGGAAAAAATTACAAAAAAAATGAGAAGACAGAAGCAGAGAGAGACAGAGACACAGAGATAGAGATAGAAGGCCAGAGGGGCTCCCTACCACACTCGCTTGTCTGCTGGAGCTGAATTATCAGTAGAAAATCTTCATTTCTCTCATCCCCTGAAATAACTAGTTTGCAGGAGCCATGAGGAATCTTCTGAAGGAAGGCCTCACCTCTCCTGCCACACTAGCTTGTCTGCTGGAGGCTGAATTATCAGTAGAAAATCTTCATTTCTCTTGTCCCCTGAAATAACTAGTTCTCAGGAGCCATGAGGAATCTTCTTCTGCAAAATCCAGCTCTTACTTTTTTGCTCTAAATACCATAGTCCACTGAGCATTCCCAATTTCATTTCTTTCAAACTCAAAATATTTAAATATGGCTTTGCTAAATATAACATCTTTCTTTCTATTCCTTCTCACTCCTGCTTTTTTTTGGGGGGGAGGGGGAACAAGAGATAACAAGAAATATGTGCCTCCAATCTTAATTCTCCCTATTTTGCCAATGGTTCCACTCTGCTTTTCATCTTCAAAACTAGAAACCTCGGTGCCAGTTTTTTAAATGAAAGAGAACGTATGTATGTCATAAGAAAGAGGAGAGTAGAGAAAGAAATAGACTTACTCAACAAGATTGCACTATGATCTCCTCCCCCAAGCTGTCCAGTTACTCAGGATCCTGGGCCCCTGTGCATCCAGCATGTTTTCAGGCCAACCTGAGAATCCAAACCTGCAGCTGACCATATGGCTTCCAACCTTGCAAGGGACTTGGGTTGCCTCTGTGCCACAGCAGTTGGATGCCATTTAAATCTTCCTTTTATTATTGACCCAGACTTACTCTGTTAAATTAGGTCCTCTTTTTTTAATAATAATTATTTTATTTAACTTTAATTATTTATTTACTTTAATTTGACCAGAGAGGGACAGAGTGAGAGAGAGAAAGAGAGAAAGCAAGCCGTCAGGTTTAGGACTTGAACTGCAGTTGGCCATGTGGTAGTCCAGCATCTTTAACTACCACACCACCTGCCGGCCCCAAATTAGGTCCTCTTTCGGGGTTAAGGGTGTTGAACTTCCACATGGCTGACCATGGTTCAAGTCCTGACCTGACAGTTTGTTTTCTCTCTCTTTCTCTTGCATGCTCTATCCCTCTCTGGTCAAATTAAAATAAATAAATAAAGTTAAATTTTTAAAAAATAGATATTTTAAAAAATTATTTATTTATTTTTAATTTGACAGAGAGGGACAGAGTGAGAGAAAGAGAAAGGGAAAGTGAGAAAGCAAGCCACCTGGTCCAGGACTTGAACCGTGGTTGGCCATGTGGGAGTCCAGCATCCTTAACCACCATACCACCTGCTGGCCTTCCCCCCCCAAAAATAGATCTTGTTTAAAAGTGTCTTGGGTGGGAGCGGGGAGTTGGCAGCAGGTCGTGTTGTGGCTAAGGCATTGGATTCCCACACAGCTGACTGCAGTTGGAGTCCTGGTCTGGCAGCTTGAAAATCACGCCAGACTCATGTGCACGCAATCCTAAAATCCCAAGAGGAAAATGGAGGATAAGGGATTGTGGCATGGCCATCCCCCCAGGGGATTATTTCTCACTTTTCCCTCTTATTATCTGGTGAGCACACACATTCTATAGCAAAAACATTTAAAAACAAAACAAAACAAAAAATAGTGTCTCTTGGATTCTTCCTTACTTGTATTTCCATTTTTATTACTCCAGGCCTCATTTCGTTTTGTGGCTGCAGTATTGCCACAGCCTTGGTAGGGATCTCACTAGTTCTAGTTCTGCCTTTCTTCAGTGTTGTATACAAGATGCCATTTTGTTTCATTATCCAAGAATTCTTTGCCTAATTTTCAAGTCCTGTAATCCATTTTAATTTTACCCAGGGGCGCGGGGGTGAGGGGGGAGTGGCGGTTGTCAACAAGTTGATGGAAAAGCATATTGTGAAAAACCCTTGGCTCTTTCAACTATGTGAGGATACAACAGGAAGCCCCTCACCGGACATAGAACCAGCCAGCATCCTGATAATGCACTTCTAGTCTCCAGAACACACACACACACACACACACACACACACACACACATTTCCCATATCACCAAGGGAAGCTGTTTTGGGAATGTGCACTGTGGAAAGAAGTAACCTGGTAAAAATGGAGCCCGATATGGGCTAAGAAAGGCTAATTGACTGGAGATATTTCCTGTTAACACATACACATTCATGCTCTTGGCTGGTTAAGCACAATCAACACATTTTAATTGTCTATGACAGAAGCTGGTGTCATTGGCTAGGGCTTGCACGTTGAAACAGCTTTAAAGCATCGTCAACTTGGAGATCCAATTGGGTTTTGTACCGGCTTTCAAAATAAACAAGAGCAACCTAAATACTGACCTGAGCATGAGAAATAGGAGTGAGACAGCTGTCCAGGGGTGAGGAAATGCTTGGTTGGAGTACTAAGGAGTAGTGGTCTGCAGGCCGTTTCACATCCTGTGGACTTTCTGGTATGCCCTGAACAAAATGGGTTTTGTGAATCCACTATCACGTAACTCTTACATAAATTAGCTGTTCTGACAGTGTTCTCTTACCTGTTTGAATGTAAGGAGGAAGTCAAAAAAGTTCTTATTTAGACTTTCTTTGAGATATGGAACCACTTCCATTTTCACCTGCAGGCAAAAAAAGAAACAAAAAATCAAAATATTACCTTGACTATGCAAAAGCAGGCTGCAAATAATATGTATAATATAATGCCATTTTTGTAAATAAAAATATATATTTGTGGGACCAGCAGTTAGCGTAATGGCTATGTCGCTGGACTCCCATGTAGCCAACCACGGTTCACATCCTGGACCCCGTGGCTTAAACTCACGCCAGGCGCATGTGTGTGCGTGCCCAAGATCCCAAGAGGAAAATGGAGGAGAAGGGATTATGGCGTGGCCATCCCCCCTGGGGGGGGGGTGATTTCTCGCTTTCTATCTCTCTGTCTCTCTCTGTCTTTCTGGCGAGTGCACACGCCTTATAGCAAAATATATATATATAATTGTACACACATGCAAAAAGAAAAAGCCTTAAATGGATTTCAAAATGTTTTTGCACCAAAGTCATTCATACTTTAATTCCATTTTCCCCAAATTTCTTAAAGTTCTCTCATATTTCTTATTTATTTCAAGTGTCTCAATCTCCATATTTCTCTATTTGCTTTGAGATTTCTACAACCTAAATACCTAGCTGCTGGGGACCAGCAGGTGGAGAGGTGGTTAAGGTGCTGGACACTCCCACATGGCTGACCACAGTTCAAGTCCTGGACTATGTGACTTTCATCTCTCTCTCTCTCTTTCTCTCTCCCTCTCTCTTTCTCCCTCTGGTAAAATTAAAAATCATAAATGAATGTATAAATAAAAATAATTCTTTAAAAAAAATTACTTGTCTGCTAGTGTTTCTCCACCTCCCATTAGAAATGGGATGCTTCTGGGTCCAGCAGTTAGCGTAATGGCTATGTCACTGGACTCCCATGTAGTTGATCACGGTTCGAGTCCCGGACCCAGTGGATTAAACTCACACTGGGCGCGTATGCGTGCATGCCCAAGATCTTGAGAGGAGAATGGAGGAGAAGGGATTGTGGCGTGGCCATCCCCCCCTGGGGAATGATTTCTCGCTTTCTGTCTCTCTGTCTCTCTCTGTCTTTCTGGTGAGCACACGTGCCCTATAGCAAAAATCTCTCCTAAAAAAAAAAAAAAGAGAAAGAAAAAGAAATGAGATGCTTTCTAGCATCTAGTCTCAATTGAACTGTGCATCATAGGTGAAAGGTGATGTTCTTTTTAAAAAATTATTTATTTGATTTAATTTGCTATTATTATTTTCAATTTGACTAGAGAGACAAGGAGGGAGAGAGAGGGAAAGTGAGAAAGCAAGCCGCCAGGTCTAGATCAAATCGAGGTCGGCCATGTGGGAGTCCAGCACCTTAACCACCATGCCACCTGCCGATCCCGACAGATGTTCTAACCACTCTGTCTCACCAAACCGAGAAGTTGTGGTTAATCAGTATCCCAATCTCCTGCTCTTTTAGCCATTTTCTTCTTATCATATGTCATTAACACGTGCTTTCAGGTTATTTATTTTTTTCTTTTTAAGTTTTGTCATAGGACACGTGTGCTCATTGGAGAGAAACAAAGAGGGGAAGAGAAAAAGTGAGAAATCATACTCAGGGGGAATGGTCATGCCACAATTCCTTCTCCTCTATTCTCCTCTTGGGATTTTGGGCACACATACACACACACAATACACACACACATAGCATGAATTTCAAACCACCAGGTCCAGAACTAGAACTATACGGTTGGTCATGTGGAACCCAGCTGCCTTAACCTCCATGCCACCTGCTGGTCCCAAAGAATGGAGAATTTTTACAGAAGGCAATTATCACAAAAGAGATCCATATTGAACAGAATTGCAAAGAACTGAGTTGATTATTCAATCAAGAAGTTTCTTGGGCAAGAAAATTTGTAAGAATACTGAAAGCAATAAAGATGTGAGGCAGGACTCAAAATTTAAAATAGCTAAGAAAATAATGGTAGAGAAAAAACCTTATATATGTGCCATGTATGGTAAACCTTTTTTTAAAAAACATTTATTTAGGGACCAGCAGGTGGTGTGGTGGTTAAGGTGCTGGACATTCCTACATGGCTGACCACAGTTCAAGTCCTGGACCTGGTGGCTTGCTTTCTCACTTTCCTTCTCTCTCTCTCTCTCTCTCTGTTTCTCTCTGGTCAAATTAAAATAAATGAATAAATAAAAATTAAAGAAATAATTATAAAACATAGTCATTGACCACTTTGTCAAAAAAACTATTTATTTTCGGGAACCAGCAGTTAGTGTAATGGCTATGTCGCTGGACTCCCACATAGTCGACCACGGTTCGTGTCCCGGACCCGGTGGCTTAAAAACTCACACCGGGCGCGTGTGCGTGCGTGCCCAAGATCCCGGGAGGAGAAGGGATTGCGGCATGACCATCCCCCCTGGGGGGTGATTTCTCACTTTCTGTCTCTATGTCTCTCTCTGTCTGTCTGGCGAGCGCACGCGCCCTACAGTGAAAATCTCTCCAAAAAAAAAAAACTAATTCTTTTTTATTTATTATTATGTTTTAATTTGACCAGTGAAAGAGTGGGAAAGGAAGAAAGCATATCACCAGATCCGGGACTTGAACTGTGGTCAGCCAAGTGGGAGTCCATTACCTCAATCACCATGCCACCTGCCCACCTCAAAAAGCTTTTAGTTTTGGGAACCAGCAGTTAGCGTAATGGCTATGTCGCTGGACTCCCATGTAGTCGACCGCGGTTTGCGTCCCGGACCTGGTGGCTTAAAACTCACGCCGGGCGCATGTGCGTGCGTGCCCAAGATCCCGAGAGGAGAATGGAGGAGAAGGGATTGCGGCGTGACCATCCCCCACTGGGGGGTGATTTCTCGCTTTCTGTCTCTATGTCTCTCTCTGTCGTCTGGCGAGCGCACGTGCCCTACAGTGAAAAATCTCTCCAAAAAAAAAAAAAAAAAAGCTTTTAGTTTTAGGTCGTCACTTACTCAACACCAGAGAATTTACATCAAAGAGAAAGAAACAGTATGAATGTTGTGAATGTGGAAAAGTTTCCAGTCACTCTACATACCTTAATAAACATAAAAAAAAATTTATGGTGGAGAAAAATTCTATAAATGTAATGAATGAGGAAAAGCCTTCATTCTTCCCTCAACTCTAACTGTCCATTAGATAATTTATACTGAAGAGAAACCTTATGAGTGCACCCTCTGTGGAAAAGCCTTCAGCCGATATGCACACCTACCCAACGTCTGAGATTTTACATTGGAGAAAAAGCTGTATGTACGTCCTGAATGTGGTAGAGCTTTCAGGCAGGCATCAGAACTTGCCAACATCTATGACTTTAGACTGAAGAGAAACTCTTCAGAGTAATTATGAGAAAGCTTTTAGTGATAACGCATACCTCATTGCACACATGAGGATCCATTATGTAGTCATATAACTGCAGTGAGGGGCTATGTCAACTCTAGCTCATCTCAAGGATAAAATTTTCCAATAAAGTATACAATGTGATATGCATAAAGTATTGCCTATATTTGTTTTGATTTCTCTCTAATATGAAAGTTTTCCTCTAAAAAAAGTATAAAACAGCTTAAAAAAAAGAATTGTTTATTTAATTTTCTTTATTCATCCATTTATTTTGATTTGAATAGAGAGAGACAGAGAGAGAGAGAGAGAGAGAGAGAGGGAAAGTGAGAAAGCAAGCTACCAGGTCCAGGGCTCGAACCAAAGTCAGCCATGTGGGAGTGTCCAGCATCTTAACCACCATGCCATCTGCTGGTCCCAAGCAGCTTTTTTTTTTTTTTCACATTAT